CACTGAATCTATCGGTCCTGACATTGAATAGCATTCCTTTCAGAATTCTTAAACGGAGTGATGAAATTAGAATAAACCACTACTTATTTTATCATGTCAACTCATATGTAAGGTGGAGTTTTCTATCTAAGCACCATGAGCCACGTTCCCAGCGACCTTGTTGAAACAGACACAAGATTAAGAACACACGATTGCTGAGAAATGCACCGCCATTCCCAGCATCAACGTCCTTCTTGTAGGCTGTGCTTCACTTACCTGCAAGGAGGTGTAAACGGAAAACATAGTTAAAGTCTCTTATATCTCCTCTGTACTCGGTGCTACACTGAACTCGAGGAACCTTAAAACTGTAAGTTAAAGTAAGTCGTTACTATAACATCAATTTCAAGGATGTAAAGGCGTAAATCGACAACGAAGATGGATATGGATAGAGGTAAATGAGAGCACAACATCCTCTACTACACACCCCCTGGCCCTGTTCATTTATATATTTAGAGCTTTAGCTTACCGTTGGTGTAGTAAAACGCAGATTTATTATGTGAAAGCAGAAGAATTAAACGATCTGCATTAACAACATTGAATGGCAAACGTAAGCTTCCGACTTGTTGGTTGAATGAGATGCAAAAGTATCTACTCTTTTGTTTAAGCAAGGAATTTTTCTCTTGATATCCGAGTCATTTCGAATTTGGCAGATTTATCAGGCGGTAAACTGCAAAAGGAATTGCGTTTAAGTAGCCTTATGCTCTGAATAGGCTAAACAAGGAGAGGGAAACGAGTGATTCATCTAGACGAGTTTCTTGCAGTTAGATTACAGAACAGCAACTAACCTATCGTAGGCACATTGTTTTGGGGATAGAGTTGTGTCCATATCATCTGTAATGCGCCATTCATACTGCTTGTCTGTTCTCAAAAGAAGTTTGTCTCGAGCCTGTTTGGTGATGTAAGAGCAGTCGGCGTTCATGTCACCCAAAAGGACCAGATTCTGCCGGGATGAAGTAGAAATAGTAGGTGTAAACTCAGTTCATGCACATATCTCCACAAAGCAGTTGCTTTAACTACACAGCCCAATTTCCTTTAATAATTTAACCTTTAATTTGGTGCCATGGAGCTTCTAATCTCCTGGTTCTTTTGCCCATTTGTAGCAACTGCATCTTGACTAAGATGCCTCTACCTGCTCAGAGATGATTGAGTGAAGCAGTAGTCCTTGTGGGTGCTTTAGCTGCACACACACAAAAGCAGGCCTCTATTCAAGTAGAATAGAAGCAAAATTTTCCATGAAATGATCAAATGCACAAAAATTGTAGCCTTTGTTCAATTTAAAAACAAAGCTTGCTCAGGTATACAACAGTAGAAGTGATCTTACCGGAGTGTTTGCGAAGCTCTCACACTCCTTTGTAACATAGTAGAGAGCATCCAATTCTTTAGCGACAGATTTTGGAGAGATATGAACTGCCAAAAACCCCATTCTTACACCGGACTGGAAAAAAAAGTACAAACCGTCTGGTATTTCTTGGTTTTACTAAATTTTTGCAATAGATTGGACTTTTAACGCCCCTTGCTTTGCTTATTTAGTGTATAGTTGTTTCAGAAGGGTGCTTTTAATATTTACCTCTTTCTAGAGACCACGTTTAATTATTTTTGTGCTAAAACGAAAAGCTACTTAATCCATTGTCACTCATTAATGAGAGTTAAGGAATTCGTAGAGTGGCAGAAAGGTCAGAGCTTACAAAGTCCTACTGTGCAGGTCACCGTTTAGAAGACGATGTTAATGAAATTGGTCGTTTAAGGTCCTCTTAATTACTTATGTTTCATCGCTGTCAATCATAGTGGGTAGGCAAAGATACGGCATCAGATTAGTAGTTATAACAACGCTTAGCTGTGTCACATTAAGGGTCATAAATTAGACACATGTTGCTGCGTTGTACCTGCAAATGAAACTGGTTAGTGGGTGTTTTTTTTTGCTGTGCCGACTTCGATGTGATGACCGACACGAAGAGTTGACAATGGAGAGCGCTGGCAACGACGCACAATGGCTGAGGTGGGCCCTGAGATGCTTTGATTTAATATTTAGCTCTTCGTTTTAGCTATTAGGTCATTTAAAACCCCACCATTGTTCTCCTGCTAGGTAGCATAACCACCGAGCCGATCCAGTAGCCTTCCAGCACTTCTCTGCGTCGTCAGTACATTATCTCTTTCAGCATACTATTTTCTTCTATTTTGAGAAAAGGCACTAGGTGCTGCGGTCGAATACACATGCTGAAAGCTGTGTAGGGACAGCTGTT